TCTCATAGGTCCTTTGCTGAACCTTGGAAGGAACCAGTGCAAGGGAGGGGATCGAGGCTTTTGAGTTTTATTCATGTCACAATCAGTCCTGCTTGGGTTAGGTCGGAGGGTTGGTTCCAAGCATCTTCCCATACCAGCAGGGTATTTAGACACAGATTGGTCAGTCTTGATCCTTCAACAGTCCTACACATGAAAGCTGAGCCATCCCGGACGCCGCACTTCCTCTGGGCATGCGGTAAGGAAGAGCACCAGGCTCTGTGATATCTGTCCGGAACAAACATCTCCTGTGTGTTAGACCTCACTGCCACATGCTTCCATTCAAGGAAGCCACTGTTAACAGAAGGGTAGTGTAGTGACTCTAAATGGACTCAGTTTCAAATCAACTTTGTAAAAAAAATCAACGTGGGGTATACACCCAACTGGAAGTAAAAAAAAAAAAACAACCAACAACAGTGTTCAGGTAAGAAATGAGGTTTCTCGGACCACACTGATGGCCATGGAGGCTAAGTAAAGTGTGTACTTCCAGCACAGGAATACCAGGTGACCAGACACTAAAGAAGCTTTGACCTTTCTCTACCTTCTTAGTGCCATGAGTGAGCAGTCAGGTTTTTGGAGAAACTGTGCTAATCCTTCATCATGTTTCTTTTGTTTCCATTGAGGTAGAGTTGATGAGCTTGTCTTGCCGATAATTTTACTTTGACTAGGAAGCTCTTTGGGTGAGGCAGACAAGATAGCATCGGAGGATATTGGAGGAGAAAGTAGCCTTAGAGATTATTTTCATTGCACAGCGGAGGGAAATTAAAGTCCTGATGTGCAAAATGACATATCAGAGTTAAGGAAGTTGGTACAGACAGGTAAAGGAGCCCAGATTCATCTATGGAAGCCAAGTCCACTTCGTTTCTTTACCTTCAGTGCAGACTGTGGTGTTCTTGAAATCCTAGTAGAGAAGATGGTTCAGGAAACCAAGGAATCATTCTGGTAGCTTCTTCTCGGCTCCCACTCCAACTTCCACTCCCCCTTACCTGCCCTAAAGTGTCTACACTTGCCTGTACACAGAGTGATTGTTGAAACTTGTATTTGTAAATTTGTAATAATAACAAATATACGTATCTCCATTGGGCATCATTTATCCAAGGCTTCTAAGGACCAGGGCATATTTGAAATTTTGTGGATACTACGTATTAGGAGAGAAGATTTAGATGTGGAAGACTGTGGTACCTTGATAAATACTGACTGGTAATAGAGTATAATTTCAATTTTGTAAGATATGAGAGATAGAAACCTGCGAAGAACACAGAGAGGGAGGAGATATACCAAACTGTTAATAGGGGCTCTGTTTGCATAGCCATCTTACAAGTGTTTGTCATTTTTCTCTTCTTTAACTATGTCCAACTTAAAAAAAATTTTTTTTAATGTTTTTATTTGTTTCTGAGAGAGAGAGACAGCGTGAGCAGGGGAGGATCAGAGAGAGAGAGCGACACAGAATCCAAAGCAGGCTCCAGGCTCTGAGCCCGACACTGGGCTCGAACCCATGAACTGTGAGATCATGACCTAAGCTGAAGTCAGACGCTTAACCGACTGAGCCACCCAGGCTCCCCTGCTATGTCCAACTTTTTAATACTAGTTTCAATGCATCAGTACAAAAAATTAGATAAAGGTTTTATTAAAAAATAAAATAATCTTGGATGTATGTGTGTGTGCGCGTGTGCATGTATGTATTTGTGTGTGTTTAAGTAGTCTCCACACTCAAAGTGGGTCTTGAACTCATGACCCTGAGGTCAAGAGACACATGCTCTACCAACTGAGCCAGCCAGGTGCCCCTACCTTGGATTTGAATAATCATTACATACATTTTTATCTGGCTTAGTGCTTTCGTTTGGGTGTCTGGTTTTAGAAACAGGGAACAGACCCACTGGCATTAAGTAAATTTCCACAAAAGATCCTGAAATCAAGAAATGGTTGCCCAGAAGGCCAATGTTGTCCTGGTTCCCAGTGCTGTGGAGGATGAACCCCCAAGTCCCCAACTCTGTGAGTGTTTCGTGAAGTCATACTTGCTCTGAGTCAGTCCAGTGTGACTCATGCTTCCCACATCTGCAGCGGAAGGAAGGGAAGGAAGCAAGAAAAATAATAATAGCTTGGGTGTTATTGTATCAAATAAAGTAAATTTCTCTGTGTTTTGCCAGATGGTAAAATTATAGAAACCAATTTTTGCAAAAATGTAAAATGCAGTAGGCAGAACCAAGTGTTTTGTTCTCTTAATTTTTCAAAGACTGTCATTAAGAAAAAAAAAAAAGGTTTATTTTCTGACCTCTTACCTATTCAAAAGGGGCAGCTAATTCTTCTGGCAAACTTTGTGGAAACTTGACACACAAGTCTTGAGCGTTGCATTAAAAATGCAAGAGGGCATTCTACTCTCAGAGGAGAGCAGGGGAGGGGAGGCTGTGTGCTCACTGCTCCAGGTCAGCAAATGAAGAATTATTTATTTATGGAAAGTGGGGCTAGGTGTCAGCGGGGTTCTGGGGAAGCAGCAAGCCTGAGAAGGAAGCGCTCAAACACAGCGGATGAATTTCCTCAACCCTGATGACCTATGCAAGAGTTTTGAATTCGGTTTTCATTGCCAGTGATTTTTCAAGCTGTATTTTGGATTCTAGCTGCTGATTTCCCACTTTATTTGACTCTAGTGGGATAAAATGTAGACGGTTAGTGAAAGCTAACTGTGCTGTAATCTTAGGAATCACTGGGTCTGCATTTTTACACCTTTAATAACTTTATTGTCCTCCAAAGACAAACCAAGGAAGAGAAATAGATGGCTGATCAATGAAAGAATCAGGTTACCCAAAATGTTCTCATCCAGGCTCACCTGAAGAAATCCAGACCCCTAGCACTGACAAATAGATCTGTTCTCTCTCTGTGTGTCAAGTGAAAGATGACCAAGTCTCCATTTACATTTCACCTGCGACGTGAAAGTTCATGATGATAACTAAAGCAAAAGAATTCAGAGCCACAGCGTAACATTTCCAAATGTATTTAAATTTCTGGAGAGGGTTACTTTAAAAAAAAAGTTTTTAATATTTATTTTTTTTGAGGCGGGGAGAGAGAGAGAGAGAGACAGAGAGACAGAGAGAGAGAGAGAGATGGAGCGCGAGTGGGGGAGGGGCAGAGAGAGAGGGAGACAGAGAATCTGAAGTAGGTTCCAGGCTCTGAGCTGTCAGCACAGAGCCCGATGAGGGGCTCGAACCCACGAACCGCGAGATTGTTCGCCGTGGTTGGCCACTTAAAGAACTGAGCCACCCAGGCACCCTGGGAAGGCTTACTCTTGAACACAGTGATGACGCAGGTAAAATCTGCAGTTTCCATGTACTACCTCCTGCGTCTCCTCCCCTCCCTTCTCTTTGCACACCTTCTTCGAGCATTACTCTTGGAAAAACATCTGGCAAGTACAGTCATGTCAAGGCATAAATATGGTTTGAGGTGCTTATTTTTATCCTGATGTTTGCTTTTTTTTTTTTAATTAGTCAAAAAGACTCCAAGTATAGCAAGGAATTCCTTCCAAAACTTCATTCCCCAAAGGTCTGATAAGGAAAGAACCCCTGACGTTTTGCAAGGAAGGAAGCCCTAAGTGGCCTTCCAGGGATGACCGTTTACTGTACTTACACCGGCTTTTGATTTGGGCAACACTCCCTAGAGACATCAAGCATGATTTCGCCCCCCAGATTCCAGTTGGGGAAGCCTTTTCTCTCAGCCGTAACACAAGTATGTCCAAGTAGGCAGCGTGTCTTAGCTTTGCCAACCCTGCGGCACCTAGCGGGGAACACTGCACGCAGCAGGCGGGGCCATCACCCGGCGAATCTAGGAGCTGAAGGATGGACCGTCATTCCTTCTGAGCCTGCGGGGACAAATGATCATGCCCTATGCAAGTTAGATACAGACAGCGTCTCCGCCTTACCTTGGTGCCGTGTGCCAACAGACGAGGGAACTGTGCTGGGGAAGTAAAGGAAACGTGGGTGAAGGGAATTTCTCTCCTCCTCCTCTCCATGGTTCAGATGTTTAACTTCTGGCCTGTCCTTGATGCGGATCCTAACCTCAACCTCTTCTAAGTGGTACCTCCAACTTCGAAGCAACTCTCCCATCTCCCTAACTAGAACATTAGGAATTTGCCTTATTCGATTTGGCAGCACAAAAGATAAAAAATGAGTCTAATCGTCATACCTCCATTACCTCAAGTCTTTCTCTTAATCTGTCCTTTTTTAAAGTTTATTTAATTTTTTTGAGAGAGAGAGAGAGAGAGCAGGAGAAGGGCAGAGAGAGAGGGAAAGGGAGAATGTCAACCAGGATCTGCAATGACAGCCCCAATGTGGGGCTTGAACCCATGAATCGTGAGATCATGACCTGCGCCAATACCAAGAGTAGGATGCTTTACCGACTGAGCCACCCGGACACCCCTCTCTCGTAATTCATCTTGGTCGCATTTTCTATAGTCACAGGTGTTTGAGAACATGGCGGGTAAACACATGAAAAAACCTGGTCTATTCTTACGGTCCAATTCTTTGCCTGCCACAAGTGTGATTCTGGGCTAGCTACTTAAAGCTCCTAATTCCGATTTTCCTCATCTTACATGCCTTATAAGGCTTTTGTAAGGGGTAAATGAGCCAATGGCTATAAATCACCTAGCACAGTACCTGGCACCCAGAGAGTACTCAATACATGTAAGCCATCCTCCTCATCATCAATAATATCATCACCACTCCATCCAGGAGCAACTGGTTGGTGCTAGTAAGGCAATTATTCAGTAGGATTCACGAGTGGCCTAGGTAGAGAGTGGACTTCCCCTCAAAACTTTATTTAAAAAATTGCTAAATATTGCATTAGTAAAATACTAATGTTTATCTTGCTAAAGTATTTTGGGCAGTGCCTTCATTCTCAATGGAAACATCGACACGTTATATTTTTTTCATGAAATATGTTAAACTTATATTTGAAATAACTAAACGGATCATTCTGAGTTTTCAAAAATTGCTTATTGAAACTCTCTGTGAATTTGACACCTCTAAATATACCCTTACCTTACGCTGTCAGTCAGCGACTGTACCCCCTGGCAACACAAACTAGTAATCAAGGGAGAATGCAGGCCCAGAGGTGTTTGTTTGGGCCTCCCACTCGATGAGATGGTGTTTTGTCCAGCGAAAGAGCAGGCTGTGGAGAAAAAGTCTGGGTCTGAGGTCTGGACTCTAGCTTTGTCTCTGCCACTAAAGAATGATGGAGTGACCTTTGGACAAGCTCCTCACCTCACCATTCTGCATCCTCACCTGGCAAAGAGGCACTTAGACTTGATACCCTCATTCCCCTTGGGCTTGGACGGTTTGTGTTTTGTTTATGATGTATTTACTTCTCTCCTTTTCTTTCCATTTTCCCATTGCAAAGGCAAGGCCAAGGTGGTAACAAGCAGGAAAACAGCGCCCTCTAGGGTGTTTCAGAGGCGTAGCTGTGTAGAGGCTGTGAGAAGATGAAAAACACCCGGGTTAGGGTGGGAGATTCTGAATGTCCTAAGGCTTACAGTTACCTGTCCCACTTCTTTTTCTTTTTTCTTTTGCCCACCTCATTTCTTAAGTGGACCTTACAATGTTGCTTCTACCTTGGTGGGTTGAAATAAATTCGTTTTGAAAAATTACAAACCCCCAAAGGAAGAAAACTAGCAAACACGAAAGTTAAAACCCTAGAGAAAACTTGGAGGTGCAGAAACCCAAGTCAAATGAGAAATGAATGAAAAGTCAGAGAGATCAGCTTGTTTATTTTCAAATATAAGCATAACACATTTAATGAGGAGCTAGAACCTTTTGATGTTTCCATTGAGAGAATTAAGACAGGGTTCAGAATACTTGAACAAGATAAACATGAGTATTATATTAATGCAATATTTAAATTTTTTAAAATAAAGTTTTCAGGGGAACTCCATTTAAGTTTTTATTTTTTGAGTTTATTATTATCCTCCCCAAAATGAAGCAAAAATCAATAAAAAGGAACATAATTGTCTCCTAGACAAAAGAGACACAGAATGTCACAAATTACCTGATCTAATGCTCCGTTGGATAGATGGAGAGGCTAGTAACCCAGTGCTTTTATATTTAATCCAGAGTTCTTGATAATTTCCGGAAGAGTACATAGACTAGTAAGAGCAATGCTAATATTCAGTGTAAATAACAACGAACATGAACTCATTAGGAATCAAGCATCCTGTGCCACATTTTGTAGGGAGTATCTCATTTAACCCTTGCAATAACTCAATGAGTTCATTATCATCGTTTTTTCCCCTTTACAGCTGGAGAAATGAGGGCATGGGGGAGTCAAGTAACTACCCTCAAATTTACAATTTAGTACTTCTGGGCCTTCCATACACAACCACAAATCTATCCCACATTCAAATTCATAGATGTACACTCAACTAGATGCCGTGAAGCTTTTTGGGACCTCTCTGTTTCATTTTGAAACAAAAAATTATTTTGGTTCTGAAAGCTCTCCCTGACCATTGCGAGGACAAAATGAGTCACAGAGAGTTGGGAGGAGCCCTAAAGGATGGGTGGTAAATGGGCCCCAAGGAAGGGATGGGAGGTGGCTGGCCTTGAATTGATCAGTGAGGGGCCAGCTCTTTGGAGTGAGGTATAGCTACAAGTCCCATGAAAATCTTTCATAAAAATTAAGGGTCCATTAAACAAGTATGTATATAAAAGGAAAAAGCTAAATTAATATTGAACTTATACAAAACTCTATGCACACGTATTTATATTTTCTTCTGTTCTTTGGTAAAAGCACACAAACACACACTGACTATTCAAACACATAGCTCTGTGCTGTTCTAACACCATTTTTTTCATATGCATATTTCCTTTATGTTTCACTTTAAATAACTACATGATATTATTTCATCATCTTGATGTATCATGATTTGCTTAGTCATTTCCCTATTGTTGAAGCGCCGGATTGTTCCCAGCTATAAATAGCATTGCTATACCATTTCCAGACCACTTTTAATTTGGGGGATTTTTTTCTGATCTATACTCCCAGGGGTTTAATTTCTGTGTCAAAGTGTACAATATATCAGCTTTCGCTGTATCTTGCTAGATTGCTTTCTGTGAAGGCTAAAATATAAATTACAAGGCCAATAGCATTGAATTTTTAGCATTCTATTTTTCTGATTTATCCACCAAGAAATGTTATTTATCATTGTAAGTGTTTTTACCCTCCCGCCGCCACCACCACCGCCCCTGACATCACAACCACACCCCTGATCATTACCTTTGCCAAGACAACCAAAAGCAACACCATTACGATCATCAGGTACCTTCACTGTCAATCCCAACACCATTATCATCATCCATCCCCACTGTCACCATCAGCTTCAAAATGCCACCACAACACAGTCACCGACATCACGAGTGGTTTCATCAACAACCCCCGCTCCCCGCGTCTCCATCGCTCACTGCCACCATCATCATCAGATCCACCAACAACACCAGCACGACGGCCACCATTACTTTTATAACTGCTGCCCTCCCCATGATCAGCTATTGTCACCATAATCGTCACCAACATCAGCAGCACCATCATCACTATATGCCACATACCATTATTGAAGACAATCAGTATGTGTTAAGTACTGTACTAAATGTTTACTTACACTAATCGTTTAGTCCTCACAATAACCCTGCTAGGTGTATAATAGCCTCCTGTTGCCTCCTGGAAAGCTAATGTTGAGAAATTGGGACTTCTGGTCAAGGATATGGCTAGAACATGGCAAAGCCAAGATCTTTATCTGTATCAGTCAGACTCCAAAGCCTGTTTTCTGTACTGCCAATGCCTACATTTACTTTAATTGCCATTCAGTGGTCTTTCAAAGTTCTTTTGTCTACATCTTTTTAGTTGCTATTGAACTTGAGCATTTTTCCATATGGTGATTTATTGTCTACACTTCCTTGTGTGTAAACCTTCCTGTGACCTCATTTTGAATGAAAGCTGAATAATGACCTCAAATAATTAGATCAGTTCTTTATTTTTCTATAGTAAAACTTTTCCTTTAACATTTATAACATATACTCTCTTCACACACACACATTTATTTTTTATTTTAGAGAGTAAGTGCAAGTGGGAGGGAGGGGGCAGAGGGAGAAAGAGATCAAAGCAGGGCTCAATCCCAAGACCCTGGGATCATGACCTGAGCTGAAACCAAGAGTCAGGTGCTCAACCGACTGAGCCACCCAGGCGTCCTTTCTCACTTATATTTTAACTTTTAAGCTCTTTTGGTTTTTTGATGTTATAACACTTATTTTATGACTAATTATAAAATTAGAGAATCAGAAATGTTTCTTCCTTTTTTAGTTGGAAATAATATACTTACTTTCTTCTAGTTTTCTTATGTTCATCATTTTGCTTTGACCAAAATTTATTGTAAGTCTATGATAGGAGTATGAATCCAATATATTCTCTGTACGTGATTTGATTGTGTCCATGTTCTGAATTATGATTATTTCTTGCATTTGTATATTCTATTTTTTTCATGTAGAAAGTTCTTATAATAGTTTTAATTTACTTTTGAACTATATATTCTATCTTATCATTTCTTCCTGCTTTTAATCTAATATCACATAGTTTTGGTAATGGTCACTTGTTTTAAAATCTAGAAAGGAAATCATTGCTCCTTTTGGAAGAAAGCTTTTGGTATTTTTTCCTGCTTGTTTTTCTGGAGAAATCTTAAAATCAGATTTTATAAAATACACGATGGAAGCTTTAATTGTTATCATATGAACAGAGAGGTTGTTACTTTAAGAATATTCGATTTTCCATTCATGAATAAGATTTAGTTTTCCATTATTTTTCCTTTCAAAATCATTTTCTTATTTGGAGCCAAATTATTATCTAAGCAGTTCATGGTATTTTTATCACAAGAGTACATAGATTTTACAAGCGATATGAAGTTATTCATCACCTAAGTATCAGGATACAAGTAATTTTAGTGAATTTATCTTTTCTAATGTGTCAGCTTTTGCTCTACCTGCAAAATCTAAGATAAACAGGTCAGATACCATGACATTTTTTTCTGTCACTTGAAAAGCAACATCCAACTTAATAAAAACAATGACATGTTCTTGAAAGCCAAAATGTTTCAGAAAGGCATGGCCCCCAGATGAACCAAAATGGGAAAGACAGGGTCTCCTAGCACATGGATATCCATTAATGTAAACCAACTTTGGACGAGTCTGCTGAGTTTCTAGAAAACTGTCATGTGATTTTTGATGCCACTAAACTTCCTTTTCTCCAAGTTCTCTCTTGCCATTGTCTGGGACTCCTATGTACTGACTTTAGCAGAGAGTAGCAGTCAAGACTGGGGTGTAAGCTGCCAAAATCATCACAGGGATGGGCCCCTGGGAGGTCAGGCCTTGTTTGCTCCTTTTCTCCGAGAGATAGAGCACTACCTCCTCCCCCCAGGCACTAATGGGATCTTGGGGTTTGAGGACCCACCTGGGTAAGCCCCTCTGAAAGGCAGCATTCTTAAGTTTGGAGATTAAATTTTGCAGTCACAGCAGAAGTAGGTGCGTCCAACATTCATTTATTTCTTCAACAAATACTACTGAGCCATGCAATCCACCAACTGTGGATAAAACATCTGTTCTCCATCTTTTTTTAATCTATGAATATGAAAAGGGAGAAATAAAGGCCATTGGATCAGGTTTGCTCCTGGGTCCCTTTCACTTTAGAATTAGGATGTTCGCTGTCACAGAATGGGTACTTTAGAGGTCGGGTCAATGAGCTCTGCCAAATAAAAAACTAATATTAGTGGGTGAGCCCTATGAGCACAATAGGTCCTGGGCTTGGTCTGAAGAGCCAGGTCTCAGCCTCTAACTCTGAGGCTCCTTGTCACCAGCTTAATCTTCTCAATACAATTTCCGTGTCTTCTACCCACTGAGTGATTTGCCTTTTGGTAAATTGGTGGCCAAATACCAGTCCTTCCTGTGATTCTCCAGTTATATGTTCCTTGTACTTTTATCCACCCAGCGATGACCACATCCTTACTCCACACCCAGGATGGGCAAGAACCGTTCAGTAAACTAAGGAAGCCAGCCCTCTGATGTCAGTGCCATTCCGTAGATGGTCTGTTCGCTTACTGACTCATTCCTTTTTGCTTCCATTAATTTCTTACAGAACACAGCCTTCATTTCCTGCCCCCACATACCTTTTTTTGCCCTGAAACACAACGGAAGTAATTTGTTCTTCCAAGGTTGCCAATGATCTCTTTCAGTGTATAAACTGAGACCAAGAGATTGTGCTTTTGATTTTTGTGCCAAAATCAAGGTTTGGATATCCATTTAGGAAAGGATTCCTTAGTACTGTGGTGAGTAAAAGAAGAAATAATTAATAGTCAGTCACCAGCCTGAATGGCGATGTCTCCTTCTTATGGAGACATTTCTTGAATATTCATGAGGGAAGCAAAAGAGGTAAAATGT